GGTTTTGGTGAATGAATTTCACCATAGCGAAAACCTGAAGCTCCTTGTTCTGCATATGGGGCTGAACTGGCAGCAATTCACTACACTTTGGAAACTGTTGCTTCACTTCTTCCAGACCACTACTTTATTTTTACGGATAGTCTCAGTTCTGTCGAGGCTATTCGATCCATGAGGCCGGTAAAGCACTTCTCGTATTTTCTCTTGAAAATACGAGAGCTGCTTAGTGCTTTATCCGTGCGCTCTTTCATCATCACCTTCGCGTGGGTCCCTTCGCATTGCTCAATTTTGGGCAATGAGAAGGCGGATGCGGCGCTATGGAAGGCGACATTTATGATCGACAAATCGCCTATAGTGAAATTTTCTCTATTTATCGACAGCAGTCGCTCGTTAGCTGGCAACATCAATGGAGTGAAGGGAGCTTGGGACGATGGCTACATTCAATTATCCCTAAGGTGTCGAAGTTTGCATGGTTCAAAGGGTTGGACTTGGGTCGAGACTTCATACGCGTGATGTCTCGTCTCATGTCCAATCACTATTGCCTGAACGCTCACTTGTTCCGTGTGGGGTTGGGAGACAGCAATCTCTGTGAATGTGGACAAGGTTACCAGGACGCTGATCACATCCTTTGGTCTTGTGCGGAGTATCGTGGAGTCAGATCACATTTTTATGATTCCCTTCGGGCTCAAGGTAGACAACCTAATGTTCCAGTTCGGGATATTTTGGCTAGATGCGATCTGGAGTTTATGAAACTCATATATGTTTACTTTAAGGATATTAACCTTAGATTGTAAGTTTGATTAACCTTGTGTTTAGTTTGTATTTTGTACGTGTGGGTTTTTTTCAGTGTTTGTTTTCAAGATGAATAGAAATAATTTCATGCTTTAGGATTAATTAAATAGTTGTATCATAAACCATATTTCAAACCTCCTTCTTCCCTTTTCCCATCCAAAAAATTGTAAATCTCCACTAACCTCGAGACAACCGCGAGTACTCGGTTCAGTTCCTTTAACTTTAAATATAAGACAGTAATAATGTATAACGCAAAGGATTACTCGGCTCTGTAAAGTTTATTCGATTGAGCCTGTACAAATAAAGTAATCATAAAAAAAAACAATAAACAAATTTAGTGAAAGAAGCGTAACGTCAGTTCATGCACTGTATTAATGATAATTTTGTCCATTTTGGCAAGTAATATAACACCATATTTTCGACACGATTGAAGTGCATCCACTTTGATGTGATATTAAAATTATTTTTTTGCTGTGTACGGGCATTGTCGGAGAAAATGATTCTTTTTCGTCTAGACAAGTGGGGCGAGTCGAATGGTTTACTTTCAGATACGCAATTTGGATTTCGGAGAGGCAAAGGAACGAGCGACTGTTTTGCGTTGCTTTCAACTGAAATTACACCGGCATATGCGCAAAAACAGCAAATGGGTTCAGTTTTCTTGGAGATAAAGGGGGCTTTTGATTCTGTTTGTATCGATGTCCTGTCGCATAAGCTCCACGATACTGAGCTTTCACCAAATATGAACCACTATTTGAGCAACTTGTTGTCTGAGAATTATAGGAGCTTTTCTCATGGAAACTCGACAACTTCACGAATTAGTTCTGCTTTCAATCCGCAGCAAAAACACACATCCTGAAGCTGCAACGGGTTCATTACCGTTGCCTTAGAATCGCGCTTGGCTGTATGCACTCGACGCATACGATGAGCCTCGAAGTACTCTTGGTTGTTCTCCCACTGACAGATCGTTTCGCTGAGCTGTCTTTCCGGCTTCTCATCCTTTGGTAATAGAAAACTTTGAGAAGCTGCTCGACAGAAATCCTCAAACAAGATTCATCAGTCTCTATTACGAGTACATGACGCTGGAGATTGGCCCTTCTTCATTCAATTCCAATCGTGTTTGCCTCCAAGACTTTTATAGTTCCTCTGTAAATTTTGATCGGACCATGTTGCAAGAAATCCGTGGAATACCAGATCACCATCGGTCGATGGTTGTCCCTTTAATTTTTGCAAACAAATACCACCATGTCAGTAACAATTGGAGTTGTTTTCACAGATGGGTCAACTATAAACGCTTCCACTGGATTTGGAGTATTCAACGAATTTCATAGCGCCTCATATCAACTGCATAAACTCTGTTCCGTATATGTAGCAGTAGAGCAAATTGTCTCACTACCTTCTGACCATAATTTCAATTTTACGGATAGTCTTAGCACGTTGGAGGCTATTCGTTCAATGAGGCCGATGAAGCATTCCTCGTATTTCCTGACTGAAATCCAAGCCAAATTGAGTACTTTATTTAACTGCTCCTATTTATACCATCACTTTAGTCTGGGTCCCATCTCATTGCTCTATTCCGGGTAACGAGAAAGCGGACTCGTTGGCTAAAGTGGGCGCTATGGAAGGCGATATTTTTGATTGACAAGCCTTTATGGAATTTTTCTTAATTACCCGTCAGCAAGTCCTCACCAACTGGCAACAAAAATGGAATGAGAATGATCTGGGAAGATGGTTACATTCTACTCTCCCACAGATGTCGATCAAGTCGTGGTTCAAAGGGTTGGACATGAGCCGTTTCCAATCACTGTTCGTTAGATTTGCATTTCTTTCGGATCGGGCTCGCAGCCAGCAATTTGTGCACTTGTGGTAGTGGTTATCACGAGATCGACAAATGAGCCTGGAAAAATAAACGCACTATAAAAAAAAATTCAGACGTTAGCTCCACATTATATTGGATAGACGATTAGACATGGTTATAATAGAGAATATTCGATAAATTTGCCTCTTTTCTATGAAAACTCTTCTCAAAATTGTCTTTATAGCGTGGTAATCTCTTAAATATATAACAACACTTTTCCTAACCTACTCTAGAATCCCCATGAGCATGGACTTCAATTCCGAATGTACTCTAAAGTTGCTCAAATCAATCTTTGAAGTCTCCGGAATACGTCCCGAAAAATATACGACAACATCCGTTCTAGGGCTCACCGGACATTCAATTCTATCTGACAAGTTCCAGGCCGAATAGCAAAAAAAAAACAAATGTTTTTGGAGTTGGTTGGAAATGCTAACATGAAGCTTTAGTGTGATAATTTATTAGCTAGAGAATGATCTTTAGAAGAGGATAGGTGGATAGTTCCGTTAGAGTACCGCAGTATGAAAATTGAATAGAAGTTGAAAATGAGCGAAGGGCCATTAATGTGACAGGAACGGAACTATCCACCTACCCTCTTCTAAAGATCATTCTCTAGCTAATAAACACTAAAGCTTCATGTTAGCATTTCCAACCAACTCTGAAAATCGTTAACTTCGCGTATGAAGTAACACAAAAACACTTTGAAAATGTTTTTGACTCGAGCGTCTTCCATTTGCATGAAACTTAGCATAATTGTTTGTTTTGGGCAAATTCGACCATTTTGGATTTTAAAATATTTTTTTCTAAATGTCATCTTTGAAATTTTTCAATAAATTGTAGCAAGAAAACTTCATTTCTGATCCAAATAACGTCTAAGGCAGAGTTGTTGAGAAAAGTAAAGTCTTTCTGAGAAAAATATACACGGTTACTTTTTTTGTGATTCTCTATAAAAATTCATAAAAATTGTTAATAACTCAAATATCCCAAAAAGCATATCAATATTTTTATTATTTTTTTTTTAATTTTATGCAAACTTTTGGAACAATGAAAATTTATAAAAAAAAAACCGTAGAACATTAGCTATTGGTCATATTTTTAAATTGCTTGCTAGCATTTTTCAATCATAAAATTTAAACACAGGAAACGATTCAAAATTTCTCATATAATGTATGTAGATTTTTTTTAATAAAAATTATACAAATTAGAGAAATACTTTTCTGGATACTTGAGTTTTTACCAATTTTTTTGAATTATTACTCAAAATATCGCGTATATTTATCACAGAAAATCTTTATTTCTCACTTCATCTTTGTCTCAGACGTCATTTCGACTAGGATTGACGTTTTAGTGCCATAAATTACTAAAACATACAAAGACGACATTTTGAAAAAAAATACAAGATTTTTTGCAAAAATTTAAATGATTACCCTCAATTACGCAAAGTTTTATGCAAACCGGAGAAGGTCGAGTTTCCGAATCGTCATTTGGCGTTCCAAACTGCACCAAATTTGTACCCGAAGTTTGCTGAATCTTCCCCTAAAGTTCGCTGGACATGTTTTTTAACTTAAATCATCAGTACATCGATGAAATTATAACCAAACCCCGAAGAACTCCTGACTTGCCCTTAAAACTCTGAGTCAGCTCACGAATTTCACTGACATCGCACTCAAATTGCCCTTTGACGAGGCTCGGTAGCTCAGTGGTTACCGTTTCTGCTTACTGAGCAGAAGGTCGGGAGTTCAATCCCAGGCCGGTCCCCTTCCTTGCAATTTTTCACTTTGCCTTATTCTATTCCCACTAGATTTTAATAAAAACAAATTCTTCTTTAACACCGATCGCATCATTTACCACAGTGTGGGTCCTGATCTAAAAATAGAAATTGGATGAGTGCGCGCGCGTGTGTGTGTGTGTGTGTGTGTGTGTGTGTTTGTGTATTATAACTGCTCTACCAAAAACGATCGCTGCGTGTGCGTGCAACCTTTCCCCACATCCAACATCCCAGTGATTTCTCGTGGAAGCGCAGAGGATTTCTCGGTTTCCTTCACAGCGAGTACCACGTCAACACATTCCTTCCCATTCCCTAGTTGACCTGCATTCGGACACGGCCGGCGCTGGTATTGCTAAATATTAGATCTCCAGTTCTTACACATTGAGGATGAATGTTAGTCCCAAACATCATCTGTTGGTTCTCTGTGTAATTGCAGCTGATCTGGTAATAACAGAGCAGCAACCGTGGGCGGTCAAACTGATTTGATTTGATTTGATTTGATATCGCACTCAAATTGCCCTAGGTGTTCCTTATAACAGACATTACCGATACAATGCACATACACTCAATACGTCTCCTCCATAAATGCAGGCAAGAAGAGTCTCATGAAGTGGAAAGGCGCCGTCCTGACGTCGGACGAGGACGAAACACCTAGCTTCGGGTACTCAGCGAGCCTGGACGATGGAACTTCACCATCCTTTTCCGGAACCATAACCAGTGACACGCCGGAATCTAGCCTGGCGGCCACCTTTGGAACCAGCACGACCACACCGACCACCGAGCGGGAGTTGGACTTCAACGGGTGTGGCATCGACAGCGATGGAAACAAGGTTGGCATCAATCGCTCCGGTTTGTTGATCAATGTTTCACAAATTTTAATTTTCCTGTACGAATAGATTTTCACTGTCGAACTGAACAAAGGATGGAACAGCCGTTTGGGTTTCAGCTTGCAGCAGGATCCGGAAACCAATCGAACTGTGATTAGCGCAATCTACAGCGAAAGCGTAGCTGCTAAGGATGGTAGACTGAGAGTCGGTGATCAGCTGTTGATGGTTTGTTTCAAAATGCATGTTTTGTTGGGGTTGTTATTATAGCAAATGAATTCCTTCGATCCTAGGTCAACGACGAATCCGTGGAGGCGATGTCCACGGCACAAATTATCAACCTTCTTCGGATCATTCGAGGATCGATTTGTCTTCGGTTGATACGGCGAGCAAATGAACGATGCAGCATTCCTGAAGAGCAAGAGAGTGAACCACAACCGGAGCCTGACCTACCTCCACCACCAGACGACCTAACTACACCGGATAGTTCCAACGAACGCGAGGTGGTTCAGGAAACTCCCGAACAATAGTAGAAATGGTTCAGTAAGCCACACGTCTGCAACCAGCCCTCTCTAGTAAGTAAGATGGAACTTTGTGCCGTCTTCAATTGTATAAGATAAGTCCCGCCCGTTTCCAACGCCACCTGTCTGACTCTGTCTCAGGACAAGACTCTCTCTAGTTCATGTCTTTTCTGGGGTGAATGTTGTCGAATTAGCCTCCATCCGTGGAGAATCGAGCGAACGAAAACAGTCGAGCTAAAACTGTGCAATCATTTGGTTAACAGGAAATTTTCAAATTATACATGAAATTGCGTCAAGCTAAGAAATAAAATTGGATGTCATGTGAGTTGTATAAACTAAGTACGCGTTAAGTCGAGAATGTGATTCCTTTTTTATAAGAAAAAAAAAGTACAGTAAAATTATCAAACAAAACTATGTTTTCCACTAAGTCAAATTTTTGAATAGATTGTTTGCCGAAAGAAACGAGCTCTGTTATTAAGTAACAGAACTAAGCATGTTAAGACACGTTGGAATTCCACAAGTTCTGTAACCGGAAAGTAGTGAACGTAAACAGAATTAACACAAAATAAGATGCATTTGTTGATTAGAAAAGAAATCTAAATCGGTTTAAACTACAATAGTAATGCAAGAGAAGAGTTCCGAAAAGTTAGTGCGATTTTACCAAACTATACCAAAAATTTAGATAAAGCAAATTGTTGTTAAGAAAACGAATTGAACTTTGAAACGAGGTGAAAATTTTAATAGCGAAAAGTAACGTTAGTCATTCAGTTTCACCTGATTTTCGTACCAAAAATGCAGAAAATTGAAAACATTTGTGAATTGAAGGGGAGATTAATGAAAAAAAAATCTATCCTTTCTGCAAGGCAAGCCAGCAAAGAGTCTAATATATAATTAAATATTTATATGAAAATTAATCCTGCCGGAAACTTTCCTCACAGACCAAGTGATCCTATCACATCCGTTTTGGTTCCATTAGCCTGCAAAATGTGTGTAATTCTATTCCTTTGAATTTTCCAAATTGAGCAAAATGATGATCACCATCGTCGTCGTCGTCGTCGTCGTCGTTGTCGTCAGCAAAATTTCTCCAATGAAGATGAATAATGTTGGTGGGGGGTGGAAATGCATACTCCATCAGACACCGTAATGTACCTACGATGGCAAAGCTAGGGATTTTTGCAGTCAGCAACAACAGAAGCAACACCGACGACAGTATCATGGCTTCTCCCAGAGGGGCTTGGAATATAATTAGCATATATATGGCTGTGCACGGGATGACTTAGTGCTGGTGATGCTGCATTGTCATCAGCTTTACGTGTACTTCCGCTCTACGTTAGGGGAAGAATTTTTCGGCATTTCTTCTACCGGTTGTAGGATAAAGAGCAAATGACTCGACCGGGGGTCTTTAAGCGAAATCAAGCCGAACAATTTAAAAGGTCCAATGTGCATTGCCATATTCTCTCTATCTCTTTTGTTTTCCTGAAGTGCTTATCGTTTCAAGTGAGCATAAGCTGGGGTAGGTTCAAAACAAACATGTTTGACAACCTATGCCTATCCGGTTTCTAGCAAAACTCGAATTTTTGAACCGACCGTTACCGATTAAGTTGAAATTTTGCACAGTAACTGTGCAAAATTTGTTTGTTATTGCCCAACATGTCAATTAACATATTTTGTTCTTTAGTATTGTACGCGACTAACTTTTTGAAAGGGCTTATGCACAAATGATATCCATTAATTCAAAAATATCTATCTCGAAAACGATTTGTTTGATCGAGATGGTATCTTTGGAAAAAAATAATTATGGAGCAGTATTGTGTCTTTCTATAAAAAAAAAAATACACACTGAAAAATAAAAGTGTGTACTTTCGTAAAAAAAAACAAAAATTAATTAAAACCTTAAATATCTCAAATTGCATACACTGAAACCTCCGTTTACGAAGCCTTTTTTTACGCAGTATTCAGTTTACGTCCCTCTTTGTACGAAGTAAATTCCAAATAACGAGTTTTTTTAGGCGATTTTGGGAATCTGGGAAAAACTGTGAAATACCCCACAATATGGGTATCTTTGAAAACGAAATGACGTGTAGGAACCGGACATCGATGTTTGACGCCATTTTTAAATCCAAGATGGCGGTATCCGGTTCATGAAAACTGGTAAATACTGTCAATACCCCACAATATGGATATTTTTGGAATCATAGTGACATGTAGGAACTGGAAATCCATGCCTGACGCCATTTTGAAATCCAAGATGGCGGTATTCTGTTCATGAAAAACTGGAAAATACTGTCCCCACAATATGGGTATTTTTGGAATCATAGTGACATGTAGGAACTGGGAATCTATGTCTGACCCCAATTTTTTTAATATCCAAGATGGCGGCATCCGGGTACAGAAAACCAAAAATACCCAAATTGTAGGGTTTGATGGTATTTCCAGTTTTTCATGAACCGGATACCGCCATATTGGATTTCAAATAGCGTTAAGCATGGATGTCCGGTTCGTACACGTAACCCTGATTCCAAAAATACACTTTATTGTGGGCTATTTGACATTATTTTCCAGGTTTTCTGACACCGGATGCCGCCATCTTGGATTTCAAAATGGCATCAGACATAGATTTCCAGTTCGTACACGTAACCCTGATTCCAGAAATACCCATATGGTGGGCTATTTGACATTAATTTCAAGTTTTTCATGAACCGGATACCGCCATCTTGGATTTCAAAATGGCGTCAAGCATCGATCTCTGGTCCCTACACGTCTCCCCGATTCCAAAAATACCAATATTGTGGGGTATATGACAATATTTTTAAATACCTCTTTTTACGAAATAAATCCCAAATAACGAGGTTTTTTTTACGAACTAATTCGATCTACGAACCCCCGGTTTGGTTCGTTAATTGAGGTTCCAGTGTATTTAAAACAAAAAAACATATTTTTAACATAAAATTGAAGCTCAAATAACATGTCAACTACTGACAATGTATTTAAAATGGACAATGAAAAAACCAAAAAAATATGATTTTATGATAAATATAGTGTATTTTTTGAAAATATTGCCTATTTTTAAGTTAGCAATTATCGTTGAAATAGTGTAAATATTAAAAACAAAAAACATTTAATTTACAACGCTCATAATGCTGAAATTGCTCAGTGATGTTATTTCCGAAATATTAATAGCTTAAAATTTACTAATCGTATAATTTGGGCAATTTTCGCCATTTTGTAATATTATTCGTAAGTGTCCAATGTTGAGATTATTTTTAAAAAAAAACGGAACTTATTTCTTTGAACCTTACAGTGTACATTTTTCCAATCAGATGCATGAGTAATGAGATAATAAATTATGAATAAAGACAGTCTAAAAGTAAATTGGTACGCCCCTCGCCCGCCGCTAGCACACCTCTAGTGTTGGGCATCGAAAATCTTTGACAGTGGTTTGTTTACACTTCTATAGAAAACAACAGCTGCCAGTTTTATCAAAGTAGTCGATTGCGTTCAGAAATAACGTCAAATGGAACTCGAAAGAAGAAAAAATATTGTGCGCAAACACCTGGAAAATCCGGAGTGGTACTGTTCCAAGCTGGTTAAAGTGCTGAATGTAGAGTTTAGGATTAGAGTGTTCAGAAGCTTGGATAGGATTTGAGAGAGCAAGCAAGATGTAGAGAGAGATAGAATGCGGGGTTGTAGGTAGGAGTTTCATCTAGCTAGGGGATTAAGGATTGGACGGTACAAGTGGTTGGTTGTGAAATACAAGTGTTGTGGAAATAAACCAAACATAAAAGGAACGTGTTTCTTATTAAAATATCATAACCCATGTTATAGAGGTAAGATTCTACATTTTGGCGCACTGTCGGTAGGATTATTTATGGAAAAGAGATTTATTTTTACCTTACCAGAAAAGATAAACGGGAACAAGTTTTTTTTTTGTGTGGGTTTTTCATTTTTTAAAAATAAGATAGTGTGTCTGTGAGATCGACGGATTGTATAAAAGGACCTGCTCCAAATGTTTGAAAGGGTTGCGTTGCTTTAATACTTTGTGGAGAGTTGAAATACATCATCGTGTAACAAACGATGATTCCATGTGGGTGAGATGAACCTAAACAAAAAAAAGGAGTCCGGTCTCGAGCCGAAGCCTATGCTAGTCCAGTCTGTGTACTGAAGAGCCACAAAAAAAAAATGGAAAAAACGGAAAAGCGAGTCCGGTCTACGATCGAAGCGCACCAATACTGCTAGTCCAGTCATTGTACTGAAGAGCATGAAGCGAGTCCGGTTTCAAGCCGAAGCGCACATACACAACGCAAGACCAGTCAATGTACTCAAGAGCGAGAAACGAGTCAAGTTTTGAACTGAAACGCACCAATACAATGATATCTGTCATTGCATTAAAGAGAGAGAAGCTATAAAAAGTGTTCTCATACTACTAAAATACAACCCTTTGTTTTGGTCTTGTTTTGATTTTCGTTCACAGCCGGGATAGCAAAGAAATTAGTTTTCATACTATTTTTTTTCTCTCTCCTTGTATCAACAGTGAAAGTAGTGAGGGCATGTAAATAAAAGGAAGAGCTAAATAATGTAAAAGTTTTAGAGTGATAATGTTGACAGGTAGTGAAGCACGGTAGCTGCAAATCGTTTCACAAACACTATCATAAGCGTACATCATTTAGGTCGTTTCAGTGTTAGTAAAATCTTGCGCAGAAACTCAATACGATTGCCTTCAGAGTAAAAAAAAAACAAGTTATTGTTTGCTCTAAAAAGAAGTCAAAACAAATTAATTTGAACTGATGCAAAGTACATTTGAGGAATTTTCGGGACATTCTTTTATACTGTATGAACAATCCTAGAGTACCACTGTGGATCGAATTATCTAATCAAATTTAATTATTGTTTCAGATGAGTTTCGAAGGTAAAAGACTTTCGCTAGAACCCTTCAATGATGCAGTCGACACGCAAAATTTGAGACAGGAGTGGGAGGAGTGGCAAAGAGCTTTCGAATTGGCATTGGAGTTGCGGAATGTTGAGACGCAGCATGAAAAGCTGGTTCTGCTGTTATCTTGTGGTGGTAGGGGACTACAGCGCATTTTTTATAACTTGAGACCAACATCCGACGAAGTTTATCCCGCACCAGTGAAGATTCCATTTAAGCCGATCGAAGTTCCTGAGTATGAAAACGCAATCAAGAGGTTGAACAAGTTTTTCATCGGAAAACGAAACGAACGTATAGAGTTGGAACTTTTCCGATCACTGAAGCAGACGAGCGATGAGCCATTTAACCAGTTCCTCCTCAAGCTTCGGGCACTAGCGGTGCGATGCGATTTCTACGACCGTGAAGAAAAAGAGATACTGCAGCAGATCACAATGGGCGCTCGCGACGAAAGAGTTCGAGACCAAGGTTTGGAGGACATCATGGGTCTCGATGAACTAATCAATTACGCCATCAATCGGGAGATTTTACTGAAGCAAAAAGGAAAGTCGAGGCCTTTCGGTGAGGAATTCCCATCCACCACAGTAGCAGCGGTAAATCAGAACTGGATCAAGAAGCCGAAATTCAATGATATCGACCGTGGCCGTTCCAACACTAGCACTGGTCGTGTGAATCAACGAGATGGAGACAGACGCAACAGTCGTGATTGCTTTCGGTGTGGGTCGTCGAACCATAGTGGAGATTCACAAAACTGCTACGCACGGAACGCACGGTGCAATGGATGTGGAAAACTCGGTCACTACGCCAGGAGGTGCAGGAATATCAGCAACATACAGCGAAATGATGCTCGATACAATCGTAAGCGTGCAAGTGGAGAAACTAATGTGCTACGAGGAAATGAAAGATGGAAGGAAGAGCCGGATAAGGAACAGTTGGCGAAGGTAGCG